CCCCTCCCTCCCCCCCCCACACCAGATTAGGGCTGGCACTTAATATTATTGATCCGACAGGATTTGAACTCTTGCACTGTTTATCAATAAATTACCTGTGTGTACCATTCTGCTGTCAGGTGTGTACAGGTGGAAGGTGGGGAAATGGGGAACGGGAAGGTTGTGAGGCTCTTGAAAGAACAGTGGAGCAGAGAAAATAATTCTCACCTTTGTTTCCAAAATATGACGAGTGTGAGATGTTGACTTAAGCAGATGCAAAATAGTTCCTCAGATCCCACCTGTACAGCAAAACCCTGGAATAGAAGGAAAACATTCGGGCCTCCAGGGCTCTCTTTAGACTGTTTCATGAGCGGGGGTGATGAGGAGCTTCTCTTGGTGGTATGGGTGACATGCCCCCTGTGCATTCATCCCTACCTGAATAACCAACACTTACATCCATCCTTGTTGTACTCCCCAATCATCCACTATCAATAATGCTTGCAACTGTTACCAGTGCAATCCTGCTAGTTGTCCTGCAGAGGACAGGCGATCATATCAGGATTTGTGAACGGATTCCACACTGTGAACATGCCAAAATCCCAGTCCCAAGTTCCAGGTCCCAGTCCTGAGTCCAGGTCTCAGTCCCAAGTCCTAGAATCCTAGTCCCAAGTCCCATTCTGTGTTCTATTAGTGGTTCCAGCCACTTGTACAATGTTCACGAATACTTGAGAAGAGTAGTTTTCGTCTGTACCATGATTGCAGAGGCCCAGGTGGGTAGTTAAGTAGATCGTGGTAGGAGGTTTCTGGTAGATAATAGTTATGGGTTGAAGAGTCTGTCGTTAGAAGGCACCACAAACTTCAGCCAAGATCCTTCAGAGTGGTTAGGCCAGGTGTCATTTGATCCACCCAAGCAGCCAAATCCAAAAAGAGTCCATAAGCTTCAAGAAGCTGCAAAGAAAGGCAAGGGGCCATGAGAACATATTCCTGGGCCCAGAAGGTACCGTATGAAGGGCAAGTACTGACGAGGTACTCATGCTTGGGGGAGATGCAGCTAACTATGCTATTTCGTTAAGAGAGCAAACGGGTTGCGGAAGGGATATTGTCCGTTTTCCTCATATTATGGATACTGATGTCTTCCTGCATGCCATGTTTAATAGGTTCGAAGATAAGACAGGGCCCTCAAGACGCAAAGTAAGATCCTCAACGTCGAGAGAGGAAAATGGAAGAGTGTCAGTGCCCTGAAAGCGCACATGGATGGCTTGCTCCAGGTTTAGGACCATGGAGCAACCCCCCAGCAAGTACTTGATCATTTTGCCCTCGCATTGCCTGAGCCTCTTAAGTCCCAGCTTTACACTAAGTCTAGAGAAGAAGGTCAGATCTACGATGAGTTTAGTAAGCACGCACTAGAACAGGCTGGCTTTCTGCAGGAGGCATTATAGTGAAAGAAAAGAAAGGAGGGGTTGTGCTTTAAGTGTGGGGACCCTGGCCACATCATTCCCTTCTGCCCTGATCTGGGGCAGCCACCAAAAGGGAATGCCCAGTAGGAGTGGCAGCTGCTCCTACTGGGGCTGCATACTTTGATAGTCTGGGAGAGCGCTGTGAAGGAACCCTCCTATCTGCAGGCCCCAATGGCAGAGGCTGATGTAGGCCACCACCTAGGTAGCTGTCCGGAAACTGTTTGTGTCAGGGTCTCCTAGGTGGATCCCTCGCAGGCATTGACAACGAACTGATCACTCGCCGCCAAGCCTGGGCCGAAATGAAGAAGAAGAGTAAAGGGCAGCTAATCTTAGCAGGCATAGAAGTGAATAGAACGTGCGTAGGTGCGATGGTAGATAGTGGATCGACCCGTAGCTACGTTAGTAGAAAGGATCTGAAGAAGTTGCATCTCGGGATGAAGGTGCTGAAATTAGATGAGCTGGTAGTGAGCACACTGGTAGACAACCACGAAATGAGAGTTGAAAAGTATGTCGAAGGGATCCATGCATACTTCCAGTTGGAGAAGGAGAAGGTGGAGAAAGTTTTGCACTCCCTGACCCTCTTGGCAGAGGACAACTTACCCTTCGACATGTTACTAGGGAGAGATTGGGGAGGCCCCAAATCCCGACATAAAGATGGGCGAGCATGAGTGCTGGCTGCCCAGTCCCGAAGGTGGGAAGAAGAGGAGGTCCGATTGTTTCCTGAGTTCGGAGTCCAGTCTGCCCTATCCTTGTGATGTATGAGCGCCCTTGCGTTCGCCGGACATGTGGTCAAGGAG